AGAAATGTTACATACCTGTAACCATGGTTCTTCTAGTGGACCTCTGTGAATCCACACATCCCTCCCTTCCTCCCTCTCCTTTGTCTGTCACGTTGTCTTTAAACATAAGCATCCTGCATTGACAGTGGGGGACTATAGGAGGAACTGAGGGGAAGATCGGAAGGGCGGAGCTTGCGCCCTAAGGGGGGTATCTTATTGTCAATCTTTTAAAAGCTCTAGAAACTTCCAAAACATCCTGCGCAGGCTCAGAAGAAACCCACGTGTGAATTCACATAGGTCCACTAGAAGAACCATGGTTACAGGTAGGTAACCTTTCTTTTTGTGCTATACAATATATCGCTAAAACGTTTTAGCACTACATGGTTTAAAGGGCATTGAATCAACAGCTATATGCAGTAGAATCATGAAATACCTGTACAACATTTTTTAAAATAAATCCATGTCAACAAAGCCTGTAGTTTATATCCAGCTATTGACCAGGGCAGGCGGCAAGTGGGTGGGAATATGGCATAAAAAGGAGGAGGAGGTGGAGAGGTAGAGCTAAGATGTTGCTAACATCACCCACAATGTGGACAGTTGCAACACAGTGTCTTGGGTGAAAAGAAACATGAATATGTGAATCATACAGCCTGTATGATCTTGTATGTTGGTATACATGCTTTCTCTGTAATGTAAAACACATTGGCCAGAATCATATTGGGGATTTATGCTGGCATAAGTGGAATTGTCTATATCGTGGCAGTGAGTTGTCACTAATTGTCATATGCCAACTGTGTGGCTTGGTTCACAACCAGGAAGGCAAGCAGCAATTAATTAAGTAGTGGCAAGTTGCTGACATAATTTATGCAATTACACATATACCAGCACCAATCCTTAAAAGGATTCTGTCCGTTAAAAAATTATCCCCCCCCTCCCAGTTGGGGGTGAAGCAATGCAAATTGATGCAATTATTGTCATTTTTCTACATTTTTGGTGTTTATGACTGATGTATCAAAGCCTTTGCTGAGTTTTCTACTTCAACCTTTTACATTATTACATTAGTAGTAGTAGAGGCAGAAGTAATAAAAATGATAATGTGTTTACAATTCTAGGCTTAAAACATCTTCATTTTCTTTTTAAAATATTTTGTTTTGTTCTCTTTGCTCACAAAACATCAATTGTTGGTTTTGGAATTTTCAGAAACAATGTACTGTATGTCTCTCTCACTCAATCGTATTGCCAAGTATTTTAAACAATTGGGGGAAGTGGTTTACTCCCACACATCTGGGCAGGCATTTCTGATAAATGTCATGTGGTCAGAGTTTTCCTGCTGTGTTTCTAAAGAAAGACATCATTTCCTTGTCCTGCAGCTTTAAAAAACAGATTACTTTATTCGCTTAGTTAGTGGTCACCCTTCATTTTCAACAAATACATTTAGCAGTAGCTGGGAGACACTGAAATGGAAAATGAAGTTTTAGTGCCTCTTAAAAGTTCCATTGATTTCAGTAGTATTTCAGGGCTGTTTTTGGTGGATTCATTTTGGCCAGTACTCTACTGAGCTTCAGTTGAGTATACACTGCCACCAGTTCAGCAATGTGGGATCATGCTGCTTGTGCAAACATTGTCATTGCACATGTGGAGGGCAGATTTTGGGCATGGAGATCACTGTTTGACCCCTGGCAATCTTGTGCAAACAACATGGTGCCCTTTTACTAAGCTGGCAAGATTTCTTGCTCATCAGAATCTCCACAGGATAATTTATATACTATTTAGAGTGGTAGAATATACCAGATGGGCGGGATATAAATCAAATAAATAAATAAATAAAAATAAAATTTCCCTTTACCTGTAAGCACTTTGTTTGTTTTTACCCTGTCTTTCTCCTAAAAAGGGCACCAAAGTAGATTACATTATTTAAAAAGACAGCATTGAAAGCTAAAAACAATATGTTATTGCAATGTTAAGAAAGAATTAAATAAACATGATATTAAAAATATTAGATAAAAGTGTTACTAAACTGATTGAAAAGAAGAAAAATATGAACCAACAAAATTACAAACCATTCCATTGGGGTGGGGGGAAAACACATCTTAGACAGCCAGTCACTAAGGAAAGACCTGTCTGAATATAAAGGTCATTGCTTGCTTATAGAAGGAGAACAAAGATGAGGCCAGCCTAGGCTCTTGTGGGAGGGAGTTCCAGAGTCTGGGAGCAGAGTGAGAGGCCCTCTCCTGTGTCCTCACCAAATGCACCTGTGAAGGTGGTGGCACCAAGAGAAAGGTTTCCCCTGATGATCTCAACACTTGGGTAGGCACATAAAGAGAGATGCGGTCTTTGAAATAGCTTGGACCCAAGCCATTTAAGATTTTATAGGTTAAAAAATGAATCAACAATCAATGGAGCCGCTATAACAGATGATATAATGGCTGTAAATAGCCTCAGTTTACAATCTAAGATTCTAAGATTAACAATCTGGTTGTAGTATTTTGGATGCACTGAGATTTCTGAGCACTTTCCAAAGTTCTTGCCTAGCCCTCCTCTCTCCATCGTCACTTCTTCTACAGTCTGAAGAGAGGACAAGAGGTAAATGGAGCAGGAGGGATCCTTGTGTGGAGAGCCTACACATGAACAAGAACTTATTTTCAGACATTTTGCTCTCCATGTGCAGAAAGCAACAATAGGAGGGGGCAAGGCTAGGCGTACCTTCCTAACTGTGTAGCCAGGAAATAACTCAGTAACCACTGAACAGGGCTAGTACAAATCTGTACATTTGTTTTCAGAAGTTGGTCCCACTGAGTTCAATAGGAATTTACTCCCAGGGATAGTAGCCTAAATGAAGAATAGGCTCCTGCTCTGAACTTCTATGTCAGTGAAACTTTTCCCAGGTAATCCTATGTAGGATTGGCATATACTCTTTGGTGCACAGGCTATATGTGATCATGGATAAGAGCTCAGAGCATTCAGCCCTTGGAGAATAAGTTGGTTCAATTGAAACTAAGATGGAGTTGGGAAAGCTGGGGAAGTTGTGCAGTCAAAACCTTCCTAGATGGTGTTGGGAGTTCTAGTCCTGTGACTGTAGCTATTATAATACTGGAACTTTGAATCAGCCAGCGAATTTTTCTGACAGCAAATTCGGGACAGAAAAAATGAAGTATTTACATAATATGATTGCTAGATAAATATATAGAATGTTATGATAGCCGTGGGCTTAGATAGCTTTCAATAGAGATTAGAAAATTCATGGAAGGGTGGTATATCAACAGATACTGGCCACGATAGTTAACTAAAACTCCATGCTCAAATGCAGTATACTTTTGCAGGAGGGAAAAATAGGGAAATGCTGTTTATTTACTTATTTAATAGATTTTATCCCACCTCATAAGTCAAATCAGCATTTCCCATAGGAATGCACTGAAACCCAATTAATCCATTCCGGCTGTCTTTTGTTCTTATGTCGAGGCACGGTTTGTAAGTCGAAACATTCATTCCCATATGAACTAATGCAAAACTGGTTAATCCATCCTCTATCACTGGGAGGGGGGATTTTTCTTCTTTTGACCTAAGATGAACTTTGGTTTTAAAAAAAGGGCAGGAAAGGAGGGAAGGAGGAAAGGAACAATGTGGAAAAGAGGAAATAAAGAATGAAGGTCATCACTGGGGCACACAGACTCCTCAGACAAAGGTTTGTGCTTTTAAGGACAAAAAGAGGGAAGACAGAGAGAGAGAAGACAAGGGGGGGGGAGAGAGTTTGGAGTCTAAAACATATTTTAAACCCACACATGCTAAACCCACACATTTTACAGCAACACATTTTAAACCAAGCCACTTTTAAACAAAACACATTTGAAACCAAACCAAGCACCTTTTAAACCCACCCACCAACACCTTTTAAAACAAAAGAGAGGTCACTTAGCTTTAGAACCCGACAGCCAGACAGACCTTTGCAAAAGGTTTTCTGATTTTAAAACCAACAGCCAGCACAGAAACATAACCCTCCGACTTAGCCACCTAGTGCAACGGCAAGCTGCAAAACCCCTGTACAGTAAATACAGTGTACTCACCCAGAACAGGCAGTCTCTCTGTTTTAAAAAGGAAGTCAAAAATCCAAAAAGCAAAAATATAAAAAGCCCCCCCCCCAAAAAAAAATATAGTCCGTACAGTACAGTACCAGGCAGTACCAGGCAGTCTGAAGTCTCTCTCCATATCCACACTCTCTAACCTCTGGGGCGAGCAAGGTAGCAGACAAGCACCCGCTTTGCTGGCCAATCGTAAACTGAAAGTTCAAATTTCCCACCTCCCCCGCGTTTTTTTGTTTGCAAGTCAAACCAAAATTTTGCGGACGGAGCTGTTCGTAACTCGAAATGTTCGTAGGTTGGGACGTTCGTAAGTCAAGGCACCTCTATATAGTGCTGTCTTAGAATTATAGAAGAAGAAACAGAACAGAAAAGCATTCTCTTTCATTGTTACAGATATATATCTGTTTCCTCTTCTATAATGCAAAAACAGCACAATCTTGACACTTGAAACATTTCATGGATAATAGTTTTTTCATGTAGGAATAATTGTAGCATTTGTTATCAGAATGCTCCAATCATTTATTTGACTGCCCTGGAAGACAAAGCAACATTATTGTCCTCTGTTATAGTAGATGTCAGGTCACCCAGTGTATTAATAAGATCTGAACTGTGAAGTTCTCAGCTCATATTCAGAACAGAACTAGATTTTGGTTACAATTCACCCAGAAATAACTTGCCATATTAAATATATCAGCCAGAATCCTCTTAAGGATTGCCTCCAGAGCAATGCATTTTGTTTGTTTTAGGCACACCACCCAATCCACCTGTATATAAGATTTGTTCATGAAATAAAACAAGGGTGGGGGCTGTTGGACCTCCAGTTGTTGTTGGGCTGACTGCAAATCCTTAGCATGACCAATGTTTGGAGGACTGCCCATTGCTGAAATAAACTAATAACGAGTAGCAATACAAATACTGCAAAATGTTACCTTTGTCTCTGTTCAGCTATCCTCAGAATACACTGAGCGAACTTGTGGGTTGTGTGGTAACTACAATGGCAATCAAGGAGATGATTTTCTTACACCTTCTGGCCTGGTAGAAACCCTTGTTGAAAACTTTGGAAATTCTTGGAAGCTCAAAGGAGATTGTCAAGATTTGCAGAAACAAGATAGCAATTCCTGTACTCTCAACCCTCGCTTAGGTAAGAGGACTGGGAAACAGCCAAAGCAGGAAAGATAGCAGCATGCCTATCTTCTTTCTACACAGCAGTACTAATGAAAGAGGACCTGGCATGTATAGCATGTAAGATGTATAGCATTATTTGTGTTTGTGTGTGTGTGTGTGTGTGTGTGTGTAAGAAAGAGAGAGCCATCTCTGCAACAGTGCTAAGGACCTTTGGCTCCACATATGTTTTCCAGTGTTTTGGGCTAAACATCCGACAATGCATTGGGCAAACTTGTGGGCTGTATTGTAATTACAATACCACTTCTGTAAATTGCTGGAAGCTAGGACTTCTAGGAGGTGAAATACAAAATGTTTGATAAACCATGGATTACTTTTTTTGCCAGCAAAGAGAATTCAAGAGGGGGAAAGCTGAAGCCATTCTTCAGAAGCTACTGAAATTTTGCACACCATTAGTCAATAAAATAATGCTAATAATCACCATCAATATTTATAATACTTTATGAATGATCAAAGGAGTTTGTGGACATTATTTTAGTAAGTCTTAAAATAACCCTATAAGACAACTCAGTATTATTGTTCTGAATGGGAAGGGTTGTAAACAGCAATAGAGAAAGAAGCTGGGAAAAATATCTTTGTGCATGTGCAAGATTTTAACTAAGGATTAAGATCAGGACTTTTATGTTTTAGCTATACAGTAAAAATGCACCAATTGTAAATGAAGCTTATTTGTGAACTCCTGGTCCAGGAATAAGTCTTCAAGCTGCCAGGGCTCTCAGAGTCATTTGTAATTATGATTTCTCTCTGTCACTGTTTGTGTTACAACATCAATAATACAAACATTTGGGACTGTTCTCCTTTCAGCCAAGTATGCTGAGGGCTCCTGCTCCATTCTGTTAGCTCCCCTGTTTGAACCTTGCCACCATGAAGTCAACCCTTCCCCGTATGTCAAGAACTGCCACTATGACGTCTGCTCCTGTTCTGATGGCAAAGATTGCTTGTGTGCCGCAGTCTCCGCCTATGCCATGGCTTGCGCTCGCAAAGGGGTTCTCATCAGCTGGAGGCAGCCAGAGTTTTGTGGTAGGTGTATGTTACCCAAATGCATCATTTACAGAATCACTGGTATGGTGTGGATGTTACACCAATCCTTCCTCTGGCTTTTGTGTTTTAATGCAAAGGACCTGGAAAGTTGGTGCTCTCTGAGCAAAGTCTCTTGGATGACCTCAATGCATGCTGGGATACATGTGGGAGAAGGTTGACTTCAATATAACTAGTTCTTTGCTTTTTAGGCTCTCCCTTGTTTTGCATTTGTAAGCTGAAAAATGTAGTCTGAGTAAATGTTGAGCTAGAGATCTCTGTGGGAAAAACAAAGCCATTTGTGTACCTGATGCTAAACTGTCTATCTGGATAATGTGAGTTCATCCAATGCACCTCATGGGCATCAACTGCCTAGCATAAAACGGCTCCTGTGGAGCTGTGAACACAGGATTGGTGACATGGTCACATCCACTGAAAACAATAGGATAGTGGCAGGAGAGCTCCAATTTCTCAGTGGCATTTCCCTTCATTTTAAAGTGACATTGTATGGCTTCATGATTGGGAGAGGGCATCTGCAGAGGGCTCACTGAACTCAGAGGGGCCAGGACATGCAAACCAAGAATGCTTGCATGTTTCCACTGGAATTTGCTCTGTGCAACATGAGACTAACAGCAATTGGGGGAGGTGCTGGGTAGCATTGGCTCAGCAGAACATGTGTGACTTCAGCAGGTGCAGACTGCATGCAAAACTTGATTACAACATGTAAATGAGTTAAGATGTTAAAATGACTGTGAGAAAGAGGCTTGGGTCATTGCACATCCTGGAGAAAATGAAAGGTTAGTGGATCTCCATTTAATGCAATCCATACAAGTTAGGTTGAGTGATTTAAATCTGCTGACAGATTTTTCCCAACTGGGTAATGTTTACAAAGAAATATACAGTCTATCACAGAAGTGAGTACACCCCCTCACATTTCATAAATATTTTAGTATATCTTTTCATGTGACAACACTGAAGAAATGACACTTGGCTACAACGTAAAGCAGTGAGTGTACAGCTTGTATAACAGTGTAAATGTGCTATCCCCTCAAAATAACACAACGCACAGCCATTAATGTCTAAACTGCTGGCAACAAAAGCGAGTACACCTCTAAGTGACAATGTCCAAATTGGGCCCAAGTAGCCGTTTTCCCTCCCTGGTATCATGAGACCTGTTAGTGTCACAAGTCTCAGGCGTGATGGGGGAGCAGGTGTTATTGCTCTCACTCTCTCAGACTGGTCACTGTAAGTTCCACATAGCACCTCATGGTAATGAACTATCTAAGGATTTGAAAACATGAATTGTTGCTCTACATAAAGATGGCCTAGGCTATAAGAAGACTGCCTGAAACTGAGCTGCAGCACAGGACAGGTTCCACTTAGAACAAGCCCCGCCATGGTCAACCAAAGAAGTTGAATACCCATGCTTTAGATATTGGTGTTGTTGTTGTTTAGTCGTTAAGTCCTCAACCAAAGAAGTTGAATACCCGTGCTTTAGATATTGTTGTTGTTGTTGTTTAGTCGTGTGGAGAGTTCTGACTAAACGCGATCCACCTGCAGCAGGAACTGGCAAGCCACTCCAGTATCTTTGCCAAGAAAACTCCATGGACAGAAACAAAAGGCTTTGGAGATACTAAAATATTTATGAAATATGAAGGGGTGTACTCACTTCTGTGATATACTGTAATTATGTTAAACCACAGCCATATATACTTTCACCTATACATTTAAATGCTAATGTAATGAAATAGCAGGTGAAAGGAGGGGAAGTATTTGCCTTTGAAACTGTGCAGGTCTGTAGACTGCAACGATAGCTGTAAAGGACCTACTATTCTTTTTTTATTATTGAAAATGTATTCAATGTTTTTATTTTTCAGTTATGTGATGTATCATACAAGATGCAACAGTATTAAAAGGTGGGAGGAAAGAGTGGGGGTGTAGGTAGGGTGGGGAAAAGAGGAGAAAACTAACATTTGGCCTGTACTTAGCCGTTGCTGTAAATGAATGCAGTCAATTTTCACAATTAATCTTTAATATGGTGCAGCTCTCCTCCCTCCCCTTACTCCTAATCATTATGCAGCACTTTGTGTCATGTGTGAGTACTGAATTTCTCCAACTGCAGTTGCATCAAAGCCCCATTAAATATTTCTAGGGCCTCAAATGCCTCCTATCACACAAGAGAAAAAGCAGATGCCTTTAATGGATCAAGAGTGCAATCACAGTTTCAGATAATTAGTGCAGATGAGCCAGTGTATTGAACTTTTGGCTCCTTTCTGCTCAGAGACTGAGCTTCTTTCTCCGTGGCCAATGAAAATGACCACAGAGAACAAGTGTTGTTCTGTGGTAAGCAGCTAACGATTCGCTGCTAAAACCTCCAGCCTTAATATGGTGCCCCCCCTTCCTAGCTTGAAAGCGATATGATAGGGTAAATTTGACACATGATACAAACATTTGATTTATTCCGTCTTTCTGTGAACTCTGAGAAAGTAAATCTTATGGAGGTTTGAACCATTACAAAATTCTGTACAATGCATTTAAGAGATACCCCAACATCCCATATAGCTACAGCAAACCTGAAATTAAATTAAATAGTCTTTTACTGTTATGATAGTCTGGATTCAGTGTGTAAACATCAGCATTGTGGTTCATTCTGAAATGTCCGCAACTTGGAGTTTTTAAGCTTTGTTTTCCGAAGGCTATAACTAGGGTTGCTTTCAGTATGGAGAACCAGAAAGGGTCAACAGAATTAGATAGATACACTTCCTTCTTTCCTTCCTTCCTTCCTTCCTTCTTTCCTTCCTTCCTTCCTTCCTTCCTTCCTTCCTTCCTTCCTTCCTTCACATTTTAGCTCTTGTGGAAGCAGTTTACAATAATACATTAATTTTAGAAGTAAAAAGTTTTAAAACAATGGGTAACTTACGTAGGTGTTCGTGGACTGCAACTCCCAGAAGCCTTCACCACTAGCTGTGCTGACTGGGATTTGGGAGTTGCAGTCCAAGAACACCTGGATTACCCAAGGTTGGGAGCTATTGTTGTAAAACGTTAGTCATCCCCTTTTCACCAAGCCATTCAGGGTTTTGTTTGTTTGTTTTAATTATTTGTCCAAATCTCACAAACTTGGAGCTGGTGCAGATGTCATTATTCACTTAATGCCCTTTGTCACTTCTTAAAGTAGGCATTAAATATTTCAAATCTAGTATATAGAAATCCTTAGGGATGGAAAGATTTCCCTCTGATCAGAAAGTTCATCTGGCGGCTAAAACTCATAAACTTGGGAGACCTTGTCAAAGTGAATAACATTGTTACTGCTGCCACCTAGTGCTGAGTGTGAGTGAAGAGAAGAGACCACGAAATTGGGGATGTGCAATTTTTGTAACATGTTGATTCTCGCAGGTGCTAGTTATGTATACATATTTTTTTATACAGTAAAGCTGATATGGACAACCAAGCTGAATGTGGCCCTCTAACAATGAATGGTGGCCCAGAAGGATTCAGTAAATCAACTGGGTTTTTTTCCTGCCTGCTCAGGGCTACAAAAGCATCTGGACTGGGGTAGAAGCATCTGGCAGGCTACAGAACTGGTTGGGCAACTTATGTCTGGTATTTAGCTTTCCAGCAGCTGAAAGTCTTGAGTTCTGCAGACAAGACATAACATGGAATTATTGCTTGTAGCCACCTGCTTCTCAGGGCTGGTGTTCCCTTTGCAACACTGCCATGTTTCTCCTTCCTGTGCCATAAAGTCATAAGGAGTTGAATAGACCTGGAAATTGAGGTCCATGTTTCAATTCCTTCCCTTGCTGGATTTGACCTAGCTTTTAATTAGCATGGAAATTAGCACACAAAAGACTCCTCTCATTTGGCTTTGGGTATCTATCATTGCCTTCCCCAGGAGGGAAACAGATTAGCATAGTTTTAAGCAGAATAGCATCTGAGGGTTCACATTGCTCACTTTGGAGTGTCTCATCACAAGTTAACACTAATTGTGCAATGATGTATAATTTTTCTCTCAGCACTCAAAAAAGCAGTAGTTTGTCATTTGAAAATGGTGTTTCCCTATGGGCATCTTCATTTTGGTTTAATACCTCATGAGAAGTATGGCTGAGTGTCTGGCAGAGGCAGCTATTGTACAGTGTCTGTGACATCTCTAAGAGTAAATGGCAACTCCTGCAAAGGATGTGTCCCTTTTCGCTTTGAAACGAAACAAAAAATTCTTGTTTTATTTTATTGTTATATCAGTAGTTGTGAGAGCAAGCGTAGAGCCCTGTGCCTTTGTCTGTTATGCATTTTACAGCCCTGAGTTGTCCAAATGGCCAGGTTTACCAGCAGTGTGGAATCCCATGCAACCAAACATGTCGGTCCCTCTCCTACCCGGATACAGACTGCAATGAATTTTGTATGGAAGGTTGCTTTTGCCCATCTGGATTGTACCGTGATGAGCAGGGAGATTGTGTCCCCAAATCCCAGTGCTCTTGTTACTATGATGGTGAGATCTTCCAGCCAGATGATATTTTCTCAGATCATCACACCATGTGGTAAGTGCACTGGTTCGGATGCCATGATACTTTGCTTGAGAGTGATTTCTTCCTCCTGCCATTTTCTGTCACTGTCTCCCAAACATCGGTCATATTCGTACCCTAAAGCTCCTCTCTGTTAATCCACCTCATTTTGATTGCAACAATGATGAATTAAAAGGGTTTATGCCACACCAGTGAGCACATATTTGATATATATGGCCTGTAGCTGGCTGAATAGCTCAGTGAGTGGTAGCACCTGCTGCAGACCGAAGGATCAAAAGTTTGATTCCTTCCTGTGCCTTCCGGGAGAAGAGCCAGCCTGTCTAGCCATGAGCAAGCTGCAGAGTCCCAGGAGAAAGGACTGGTAAATCACTTCTGGGAAATCATGCTAAGGGTCATCATAACCCTGAATTGACTTTGATAACACACTATGTGTGCAGGACAGCACAACTACGTGAAAAAAAAACAAGGACCTTTGATACATACAGACTTTACCTTGGCCACAAATTTTAATGAAATCCACACTGATGTTCTTGCCATCCTGCTTGTGATTCTGCTGGAAATTTAAAGGAAATGTAAGAGCTGGTGATGGATCTAAATCTTTGCAAATTAACCTCTTAATTAAAACCCCTGATGATTATCATAATTATATGGAGCTTGCTGAGGAAGGCTGTGGCACACTTTGGAGGAAGCTCCAAAGCATCTGGTGGAGATATCGAGAACAATATTTGGACACACCCGGGACTGAGAGCGCCATGAATAGTGTACAAGCTCTAGGGAGCCAGCAAAAGTTGCTGGTGGCCGTGTCCAAATCTATGTCTGAAGGGTGCATGAAGGCCTGAGAAGATGGACACAGCTGGGAGGTGAGGTGAGAAATACAGCAGGCAGGCACACTTGATTAAACAGCCAGAGGATCAGGGTTCTTCTGATTATTTGTCTTGTTGATGAAGAAGCTGCCTCAGAATGTCACTATCTGAGGCATTCCTCTTTCACATCTTTTTCCTATTGTGCTCTTGGAAGCAGCTCTGAGGCTTCAACACACAACACTAGATCAGCCCCCAGCCCAAAGGAAGATTAATATGCAGCAGCGTTTTTATGTAAATTAATTTGGTTTTCAGAATTAATAATTGTTGGAGCAGTTTCTGGACTGGAACAGGAAATGCTTCATCCCAAAAAAGAGGGGGAAGTGCTTTTACTCTCATCACTAGTTATCCCCACCTTTCACAAACTACCTTTGAATAGTGGCTCTTAATTAACTACATATTTTAGGCATTTGTTGTAATGGACATTAACAGGTTGGGAGAATGCTACCTAGATGGGCCTGATAAACAGCCACTTTTGCAAAGGAGATTTTTGGAAGAGGGTCAGGGCCTCAAATCAGATTGCTCTGCATGGCTTACCACAAGGCCTACTGCCCTAGCTGCCACCTCACACCAAAACACTGCCTCTGAAGTTTCCAAGTACTGTAGTCAGATTTATCCAACCACTGTTGTAGGCTGGACAGGATGATGGCATAGGAGCAATACATATCTGATAGTTTGAACAAAGCCACTGCTTCTTTCTGTCTATTTTAGCTATTGTGAAAATGGTTTCATGCACTGCAGTTCAAAGAGACTTCCAGGGGTTCATCTACCAGATGCTTTCTTTCAACAGCGCCCTTTGGCCAGAGGTTAGTATTTTTCTTTTTTAAGCCAATGGGTTCTATCCTTATTGTTTTGGCCTTTCTTCTGCTTTTTTGTTTTCTACTTTTAGTAAGATGATGTATTAAGCAATATGATACAGCATCTGGCATATATGAGTTTATTATAATTCCAGGCTTGGCAGCCTTAAAACAGAGATTGGAAAATTGGGACTCCCTTTCCCCAGTCATCTGAACAACACAGTGAAATTGGGAAGAAGGTTTCTGGGAAGCTCAAATTAAGAACAATATAAATGGGTTTTTTAAAATGCAGAATCCAATTTATGAAATATGAAGCACGCATAAATGTATGTGAAAGTTAACCAGGACATTTATATTAATATCTGGGGGCTAAACACTACAAAACCTTTGAAGCATTGAGGCTTTAATGGGTTTGTTTGTTTGTTTGTTTGTTTACACAAACAATTTTCCTTCCCAGAGGAGGCTAAGTTGTCTCACACCTAAACTACACAACAACAATTTTAAAATACTATATAAATGTTTTAACAAACATTTAAACATACATCAAGATTAAAACCAAGATTTAAAACAATGTTAAAACTTCTATAAAAATATTTAAAAATATCTAAATTTAATAAGCAAAGTTTTCCTCAGACACTCATTGCATGAAAGTCTGACCACAAAGGAAGGTTTAATGATATGAGCTGCCCTGGATCTTTTTTTTTTAGGAGGAAGGTGAGGTAAACACATGAGAAAGAAAGAAAGAAAGAAAGAAAGAAAGAAAAAGGCTTTTCAACAGCAACTATGCATAATTAAAAGCTTCTCTTTTTTAAGGCTCTGCCCATTTTACTACTTGCTTTTGATCATGTCTTGAGATGAATAGCCTCTTAATCAGTTAAACTCAGTTTTCGATTGTGGTTGTTGGGGAATCTTAATAAAATTACAACATTGAATTTTACATTCCTTTTATAACAGCATCACAAGTTTGGTATAGAAAGAGGAAAGAAACATAATACCATTAAACTGGTAATCAATCCCATTCAGTTTTCATGGGGGAGCAATAGCGGCCTGATTTCTTATTAATCCTCAAATCATGCCAAACAATAAACTGGGCAAAACCTACAAGAAAGAAGTATTTAAACAACATTGCAGGGAACTTCTGCTGGATGAGTCTAACCTTTGAATAAAATGTACTGAACTTCTGATGGTGTGTGTGTGTTAGATTTTGGAGAAAATTGCTTCTGCCAGCCTTTGAAACATTATTAAAAAGTGACTTCTGAGAAACTATTGTTAAATATGTTTTCTTACTCTTAAAGCAAAACGGAGTTTGGCCTGCAGGCATCCCATGACCATGTTTGTATGCCCTGCAAATGATCCAAGAGCAAAAGGAGTAGAATGTATGAAGACTTGTCAGACCTTTGATTTGGGCTGTGTCAGCCATGGATGTGTGTCCGGTTGCCTCTGTCCCACTGGATGGGTAAGAAAAATGAACATTTTCACTTGAAGTTATTGGAGAAAATGATAGTGGAACATGCTACTTTTGCTCACCTGCATTTTTGTGCCTTTCTAACTATCCACCTCCTGCTTCTGCTGTAATTCACAACATTTGTGTAAATGCAGAGTTGGGTCCAGCCCAAACTGGTCATGGTTAATTCCATTGAAATCAAGGGATGAGTTCCAACTGGTAGACCCAGCCAATGTGATGCTGCAGTCTGAATCTTCAGCTTGGAATGGAGAGGACGGGCCTAAAGTTGCAGCTAAAGATGTTAACAAAGGCATGAACTAGACCCCATCCCCATCAATGCAGAATCCAAATGAGGGGAATAAATTTTGCTCCAAACATTTGGAAGAAGTGCAAACATTTTGAGTGGAAGAGTCCTGAGTGATGAACATGTTTATCTGACAACGTGTAGATGAATACATTCAGATGAAAATGCTCGTAAGCAAGAGGGAATTCCGATGACCTGGGATTCCTTCAGGATGTCACAACTGTCAGGTTCCCTCCTTATGGAAGATCATCAGCCTGTTTTGCCCCATTGTGCCCTGTTGGGCCTCTTGTCAACACCAAGGGAGGGCAAAGTTATGCAGGGTATCAGAATAGGCAATCTTTATGCTACCTATGTAGTTTCAGCCAATAACATCATCCCAGATCTTAAAAATATTACTCTTTTAGATTATGAGATCCCAGAATCCCCTAGCAAACCTGGTTAGGCAATGGAGTAAAAAAAAAAGGGAAAAAAGTAAGGAACATTTCTGAGCTGTCCATCATCCCATAATAATCACAACGATCCAAGCAGTGGATAGCTAGAACCTTTATGTGCCCTATACATCCAGTTCCAAATATTCTGTCAGTCCCAAGCAGGAACCTGAATTGCTACTTGAGCATACGCAGATGATGCACAATCCGCAGTGAATAATGGTGGCAGGCCCAGGCATATCATGTTATGATAAAGAAAGAACTTTCATTCTGAGGTTGAGTGGCTTGGCCCACACAGAGATTTCATGACACGTGTGTGCATGCCACCCTGTAACACCTATGTAGGCTGCCCTCTGTTCCCACATGTTCCATGTGATATACTGTATAAGCCACCTTGCGTATGGCATCATATTCTTTCATCACACAAAGCAGAGCTAGAATTTTGTCCAGCACAAGAGGGCACTGTTGCCCAACTCTTCGTGTTACTTCATCCCCCCAACCTTATCTGCTGAGTTATGCCACCCCACATAAATGTTCCCCTGCATAGAATAAAAGGAGGGAAAGAAAAGTGGGGAAGAATGGGTTCTGCAGGTGGCGAGGAGTGTATCAAGATTTCATTGCAGCAGCTCATATTGCTTAAGACTAACTACATATGTTTTTATGTATAGCAGCAAAGTTAATGTTGAATACTTGCCTAATTACAAAAATAAGGCAGTTAACATTTATTGTGAAATCACACTTTTTTTAAAAAAAATATATAATTCTATCAATGTTAGAGGAAATTCTATAAATATCAGTGGTTTCTAAGCAATCCTTCTCTTTTGGTTCTACGAAAAGCACCAAAATTAGGATGCTGGAGAGTGATTTTTTGCTTTTATTATAAATCATATAACTAATATTTTAAAATGTTTGTATGAGATATCTTTATTTATATATATGTCAGTATTACCTCTCCAATAGATTTCAATTACATTTCTGAAACATCTCACAATGCCACAAGATTTTCAGCAGCAAGCAAATTCTGTCTACTTTTCAGACCAAGTTCTATCATGAGAATAATTTCCTGCCATACATACAGAACACATGTCTCCCCTTGCCCCCTTGATGGGTCGGGGGGATTGAAGAAGATGAGCCACCTCCTATCAAATGTGCCTCCTTCAGCATATAATGCTTTTTGATATGTTTTCTGCTGCAATCCTACATCCACTCTCACTCCATTATCCTCGTCATGTCTTAATTTGTTACCCAGACTCAGGTTTGAATTTAGAATTAGATAGAGAGACAATTGAAGTAACCCACTTGCCATGTGTGTAGGAAAGAACTTAATGGCAGGTCACATCCAGGGCACTTATATGAATGGGTCTTGATTGTGGCCCTGAACCTAGTAGGTCTGTCTGTCTCTTGAATTGGTTTAAGAAATCTCTGTTCTAGGTCCGACATGGAAACAAATGTATTGTGCCTGAAACATGCCCCTGTTTTCACAATGGACAAGAATATGCTCCAGGAGAGACTGTGACTAAAGACTGCAATACTTGGTAAGAAATGGCTGTCAGTCTTGATGTGTATGTGGTACTCCGTCTTGCCTGAAATCCATAAAATAGTAATGCTATTTAGTAATGCAGTAGTAATGTAGACCAGGGAAGCCTGTAGTGTTGGCTTGGCTTACGATTCAGTTTTGGGACTTCTTGCCAAATTTATAGATAATTAAAAAAAAACATTTGTCTTGCTCTTGCCTTCTTACACATGTAATTCTACAGATTGAGTCCAGTGGTTGTAAAGGAGGAAGAGATCCTAATGACTGTGGATGCAAGGTCCATGTACACCAGTGCACTACAAACTCAGGCTCTAGAAACTAATAATCAGGTATTAGATAAAAATATTATCCAACACACTTCCTTATAGAATTAACAGAGATAGCCTTGAGAATAACCCTCTGCCGCCCAGATTAGAGCACCAGTCCTATTAACAGATCAAAGGAGCAGCCATGGGCTGTCTATTTACCTCAGAAATTTCCTATTTATACATGGTAATATATGAAAAAAAAGATTATGTCTTTTAAGAGTCCTTTCCTCTGAGCATTTGGTGGCATGATGTTGCATGGATGAGATATTTTGTGTCTATAAGGGAATAAAATATTTTTTTGGTAGGTAGATGCATTGAATGAGCGTATTCAATTTTATATGAAATATCATGTCACAGAATGTTTTGTGAATGCATTTTAAACAATTTTTTGGTAGGTAGATGCATTGAATGAAGGTATTCAATTTTATATGAAATATCATGTCACAGAATGTTTTTACATTTAATATTAAACATATTTACTGTTATATATAGAAAATCATGTGATATATATTTAAAGAAAGAAGACAACAATTTACTTACTGTTATATATAGAAAATCATGTGATAAGAACCCCTATCACATCTGATAGTTCATATTTCAGATCTTTTAGAAATAATTTGCTATATCTCCAGTTTTTGAGAACAAGATGCAATTAGAAATGTTTAATAACTAAAAATCACTGCTACTGGTAATATTATCCTGGCAGCAGTGTTTTTTGGTAAAGACTTACTCCTCCTGTGCTGCAGCTCCCAAGGCTTCCAAATGATGAAACAGGAACTGTTGGGACCATGGGACAGAAGAAGGAAGTATTAATTTTTGACAAATCACCTCTGCTGGCGATGTCATCAGCCTTACACAGATGTAGTTGTGCAAACATATTTTCAGTCGTTGCATACTCTAATTTTAAAATGTATTTTTAATTCTATCTTTAGTCCATAAGGAGTGCACCAAACCAACACAGGGCTGAAAACTGCTGTATGTTAGAGGTCAAAGTGTCTTTCATAGTCCATTAAAAAAGTGGGGGAAACTTTTTGGTCCTTTTACACAATCTGAAGACAAAGTTGGGTGACAGATTTATTAGACTGTTAAAAAAAAATCAGAAACACACGCATCAAGCCATGATTTATGTTTTTTTCCTCAACCATGCACAGTTCTGCTATGGCCAATTTGATGAAAAAAAAAAAGTGGGGGAAGCTTTTTGGTCCTTTTACACAATCTGAAGGCAAAGTTGTGTGACAGATTTATTAGACTTAAAAAAATCACAAACACACGCATGAGGCCATTATTTATGTTTTTTCTCAACCATGAACAGTTCTGCTATGGCCAATTTGATGAAAATTTGTGCAGGGTTGAAAGCTTTCTTAAGTCCATGTTTTTTTAAGGAGTAAAAAAAAATTAACCCCCACTTTTGCTTTCAGATCAAAGAATACTCATCTGTCATGCTGAGATTTACTCTTCTTTGGCTTTGGCTAAATGCCTGCATGTGTGCTTGCTTGCTTATTTGTTTGCTTGTTTATATTTTGATTGGTTTATTTTTACTGTGTTTAGAACTAGGATTTTAAAATTATATTTTGTGTACCCGCATATATTGTAACAGAAATGGAGATGTACTCATATTTGAATAAATTCAATTAGAGGACAGATAGGTATTTTGGGTTGAATTTTTCCCCCTATCTCAGGTCCACAGTATAAAATTAAAGGATGTTTCATTTATCTTAGGGAGGCTTCTTGTCCTCCATTATAGGGTGACCAGATGAAAAAGAACACAAGGTTTCTGTACCTTTAATAGCTGTTTAGAAGAGGAAATTTCAGTATGCACAGCTTTTAATGCAAGCCATTTCTTCCTCTGCACAATTATTATAAAGGTACAGGAAATGTATCCCTTTTCATCTGGTCACCCTACTTCTATTGGGCAAGTAACGTTTTTCTGTTCCTCACAAGATGCACACACACACCATCTCCTGAATCACATATTGAATTTCCAGGCCAAATCTGATGCAATGCAATTCACATTTTGTGTTACATGCATACAACGCGTCGTTGTGTGAGTGGTTTAGGCTGGAACTTCAGTGAAGAGAACATGTGGGGGGAAAAATCCCATACTAGATTCTCAGTTTGGGTTAAGTCCTTCTATCTGAAATTTGCTTTAAAACATGTAACATGCACATGCATATGCGGGCGCACACACACACACACACTTGTTGAATGCATTGTGTCTTACATAGTCTAGTTCTTGAAGAGGCTTTCTGAACTAAATTCTTCTTTAACTCAGTGCTTATATGGTCAGGCTCCCTGTGCCACCATCACCTGGAGATGAAGGAGGATGGTAGGTGTTCACATCCAAAGTCATGTTGTACCTCCAAAGCTCAGTGTAATAACACAAGTAGAAGATGTGAGTTGGTTGCAAGCAGAAATTGTGTCTGGTCACAAAGATTAGCTAGAACCTATGACTGTCAGAGGCTGTAACAGTTATTACTAGAGAAAAGAGATTCAGTTTTTGAACTGTTCGTTTGGGCCGAATCTAGACGGCAACATTGAAAAAGTTGATCCTCTGATTAGGGGGAAATTGTCTTATATCTGTGAAGGATGTCTAAACATTGTGGCCTTTGTTTCTGAGGAGATAAACACTATTTGCCTTTGGGCCAAATCTAGATGGCAACATTGAAAAAGTTGATCCTCTGGTTAGGGGGAAATATCTTATATCTGGGAAGGATGTCTAAACATTGTGGCGTTTGTTTCTGAGGAGATAAACACTATTTGCCCTCTCTCTCCAAGAGACAGATTTTGCTTTCAACATAGTAACAAATTCCAAAACAGATTTTTGAAAACTTACAAAAATACCAATAACTGCTCCCCTTCTGCCTGCTACAGTATCTGTCATGGACGAAAATGGGAATGTACAGAGAATGTCTGTGACGCCACCTGCTCAGTCATTGGTACAGCACACTACTTGACATTTGATGGACTAAAGTACAGATTTCCAGGCAACTGTCAGTATGTACTAGTTCAGGTAAGAGTTTGGCTAGAGTGCCATGCTGGCAGGTGAGGTTCTGGTTGACGGCATGCTGAAGGGGGGGGGAGAAACGTTGTTCAACCTCAATGGGAATGTCAGTGAGAAGCATTCTGAATTATCCCCAAAATCAAGTTAAGAAAGGAGGACAGCAGTGGGATAAATTTTGATTGGCTCTGAAGCACAGCCAAAATGTGTAGTCCTGTGGATAGTGTTCCAAAGTTGTGTCTCACTGCTTTGAGACAGGATAGTGCTTTGACTGGTCAGAGGAGGAGGAGGGATCAGAAAAGACAGACCCATGATAATTTTCACGCTGCCAGTTGTGCCCATATATATAACTAGGTAGAGGATTTAATATTTTTTTAAAAAAATAATGATTGTGTTTTTATTGCTAAGCCCTGTGCATTATTTGATTCAGGTGTGTCAAGTAGATCTAGATTGCAACATCCACCCAGGGGCAAGTCATGAGCTCTGCAACATGGTGGAGTTCTGTGCCCTCATGGTATCAATGCTAAAATTACATGGATGGGTCCTTCCTACCCAGTGAGATGATATGGAAGGAAAGACTTAAATGATAGGCCTGGCCCACATGGTTCTTGCAGTAATACTGTTGCAGCAGCTTGGGACTGTGACCAAGGGAAGCATCTCCCACATTGTAGTGATGTTTGGTGACTGGGGCTAGCAGCACATCTTTGCAAGTAAGCATGGATACGACTAGCCTCTGCAATGTTTTTTAATTCAAGGAGCTTAGGAGGATACTAGCAGCAAGATCCCAGAGATTGCTTTCAGATTTTCTTCGTAAGAACTAGACTTATGAATTTTGATGATGGCAGTCTGTCTGCACGTTCCAGACATCTACTGTTATGCTGGTGTTTTTTTTTAAAGGACTACTGTGATGACAGTGATGGTGCTTCTGGGACCTTTCGAATACTCGTTGCCAATGATGGGTGTAGCTTCACTGGGGAGAAGTGCACTAAAAGGATCTCTATTCTCTTTGATGGTGGGGAGATAGAGTTATATAGTGGAAAGGTAAGCATGACCATATTCCTTGTTGGCAGATGTCCCACTGGAAAGAAGCAAGTTTTCTACTGGTTTTGAAAAGGAAATATCTGATTTGGGCAATATCTCATTTCAGCTCTCAATCATGTCTTTGGGGAACAAAAGGAAATATCTGATTTGGGCAATATTTCAGCTCTCAATCATGTCTTTGGGGAAAGCAGTTCCTATGGTTAGCCTGGCCATGGGGTGAGGATTTCTGGTGAATGATTAGAGCACCTGATCTGGATTTACTAGATAAGGTGAATGTGAGCTTCCAAACTCCCAGGTATTAGCTGGAAGTTGAGTCATGGCAACTGGACCTCTTCCTTATTTGATTGAAATGTTTCGCTACTCATCCAAGTAGGTTCTTCGGTCTGAGGAGATGCTACTTGGGTGAGTAGCGAAATGTTTCAACCTAATATGGAAGAAGTCCAGTTGCCATGACTCAACTTCCAGATAACTTAAGCTGGATGACTGGGAATCTTCACAGATAGATCCCAGGTATTAGCTTAAGAGCCTGTTTTCTATGTGAAGATTCATGCCTAATATTTCTTAAAGAGAGGAGTTTGTGTTATACCTTTCTTCCCATTACATACTGATGTTTCATGATGGAGGGCTCCTGGTACTATCACTTAAAAGCCACTGCGGATGTGTTGTGTCTTTTCTTATATAGTGTTCTTTTTTTCTGATGGGAAAGAATCAGAGGGAGAACAGGAGAGCTCACAAGGGGAAAATCTCATTGTCTGTTCTGTGTTTGAGGCAGAGCGACTGCAGGATAAAAGTCTTGTGCAGCAAAACTCTAGTTCAACACAGATTGAGGGTAACTGTTTTGCCTCAGAGAGCCCCCTCGCTTGCTGTTCTTGGTCCAAAGAGGAGTTTAGAGGTTCCACAGCAGAGTGCCAGATACCACCTGGCAGGTGTTGAGTGTCTCCATGGTCTTAACTATTGACTAGCGATGAATACATCATTTGTGCTTGAAGGTAGTGAAAAGATGATTATTGCAAGAACCTGTTCAGTAGTTATGCACCCTCCACTAAAGGCGATCCCCAGATGGGGAAACATTCTCTAGATGGCTCTCTTACTCTACTCTCCTTCCAACCACATGTTGTGCAAAGTAAACCAGAGAGTTTGTCCCCCCCCCACACACCCCACCACCTTCCATTTCTAGACACACATCCCTTTCCAGAGGGCAGAGTTCAGCTGTTTGCCTTGGGCATTGTAACAGCCAGGAATGTCCCTGCATTCATCCTTCACAGATCTCCAGAGCGATATAGAATTACCATTACCTAAACATCCGAAAGTGCTGTATTGTCCGTGGAACACTGGAGCTTTGCAAGGCTGTTTGAAGTGAAACACGAAGCCACACACTGCTGCTTTGTTTTGAGCTTAAACGTACAAAATGTTAATTCAACCATTTTTCATTCAGAATGTTGTTTTTAAGTTGTGTGCAAAAATGCATTTTAGTTAGTTTTGCATTAGTCTTTGAAAACATGTACAGTACATGCTACTTTTTTTAAAAGCCCAGATCAGAGTACATTCAGCAAATAAAATAATGTTTAAAGTACTATAAAATGTGAGAACACATATATTATATAAGATTGCTGGCCTAGTTTCTCCCCCTCCTCAGCACACTGGTCTTTCAGCAGCTTTCAGGCATTTGTGGGGTATGAGCTACTCCAATTGAATTCTGTCAGGACCTTGATGGTATATTCACAAGCTTAATCAGTCTACTCTAGTTGGGTTTGACTATCTATCTATCTATCTATCTATCTATCTATCTATCTATCTATCTATCTATCTATCTATCTATCTATCTATCTATCTGATTTATTTGATTTATTTGATTTATTTGATTTATTTGATTTTTATCCCGCCCTTCTAGACATATGTCTACTCAGGGCGGCTCACAATAAAATTATTCATAAAAACAACGATTTACATTGACAATATTAGTATTAATCAAGATGGAAAATATGAAACAGAAGATTAAGTAGAAAGTAAAAGTCAAGTATTGACAGGAGGGAAGGCCTGCCTAAAGAGCTAAGTCTTTAATTGGCTCTTAAAAACACCCAACGAGGGTGCCAGGCAGATCTCTGACAACAGGCAATTCCAAAGTCGTGGGGCCACTGCCGGGAAGGCTTGGTTTCTTGTTCTTTCTTTCTGGTTCTCTCTCAGTGTTAGGCCCCTCAGCCATCTTTCCTGTCCATAGCGAGTGACTCGAGTAAATCTAGGTGGGAGAAGGCGTTCTGCTAGGTATCGAGGTCCTAAACCATTTAGGGCTTTATATGTCATCATTAACACTTTGAAATCAATGTGAAAATGAATGGGCAGCCAGTGCAAGGCAGCCAGTGTGGGAGAGATTTTCTCACTCCACTAAGAAGTCTGGCCGCCGCATTCTGCACCATCTGAAGCTTCCGCTTCAATCTCAAACGTAGTCCCACATAGAGCGCATTGTAGTGGTCTAATCTCAAGATTACAAGTGCATGGACCAGAGTGGTGAGGGCCCTGCCATCAAGATAGGGATGCAGCTGGGCAATCTGCTATAGATGGTAATAGGAGGAACGGACCACTAATGCCACCTGGGTTTCCATGGTAAGCGCTGAGTCAAGATGTACTCCCCAGCTGCAAACCTCACTCTTCGTGGTGAGTCACCCCCCCAAAGAGAGGGAGTTTCCCAAGCCACCGATGGAGGGGCCACCTTCTCTCAGGACCTCCATCTTGTCCGGGTTCAGCCTCAACACATTCTCCTGCATCCATTGCAGTACAGCCTCCAGACAGCGCTGAAGGGACAGAATGGCATCCACTGAAGTAGGTGAAACTGGAGATGTAGAGCTGAGTGTCATCAGCATACTGATGGCACAAGGCCCCACACCCCCTGATGACCCCACCCAGCAGCCTCATATAGATATTAAACGGCATTGGGGAGATGATCAAACCCTGCGGAACCCCACAATTAAGGCTCCACAGGGCCGAAACACTCTCCCCAAGCTGAACTCTTTGAGGGTGGTCCTCCAAGAAAGATCAGAGCCAGGCAAGCGCCAAACCACCAATTCCCAACTTGGAATGCCTCCCCTGGAGATTACCGTGGTTGACTGTATCAAAGGCAGCTGATATATCAGAGTGGTCATAAGACCAGATAGGCGGGATATAAAATAAATAAATAATAAGTATCGAGGAGGACCAAAAAGGACATTTTGCCCCTGTCAGCTTCCCTCAACAAGTCATCCAACAGTGCGACCAGTGCCGTTTCTGTGCTGTGGCGCGACCTGAAGCTCGACTGGAATGGATCCAGGGCATTGGTTTCATCCAAGAGAGCCTGAAGTTGATCAGCCACCACTGTCTCCACCACTTTACTAAGGAAAGAAAGATTTGTGACGGGTCTATAATTGCCAATATTGTCCACTGCCAAATTTGGTTTCTTCCTAATGGGCCTGATGAGTGTCTCCTTGAGGGCAAGAGGGACTTTGGCCTCCTGGAGAGACCCATTAATTATCGATGTGGCCCATTCCTGCTTTGATTAGCCAGGCCAGGCAGGGGTCAAGAGAGGAAGTGGTGGCCTGGCAGTGATCAACTGCTTTATCCAGCAAATCTGGTGTCACAGGCTGAAAGGATTCAAGTCTCACCGGGTAAGATGGAGCGCTGAACATCTCTGCTCGATCCACCGTATAACGACGAATCCGTATAGCGATCCGCTTTTTCGGGATCGCTATACGGAGCACCCAATCGCCGCACTCGCATTGCGACGATTGGGGAGTCCGGCGGCCATTTTGGAGCTGGGTGCCGGATGACCCGAAATGGCCCCGCGCAAGCGAGGGGAGGGCGCGAAAATGCCTGCCCGGGGCCAGGAAACTTCTCTAAGTGGGAAGTTTAGGGCCGATTTGGAATGCATTAAATGAAGTTTAATGCGTTCCAGTGGCTTTTTACTTCCCGCTTAGCGAAGATTTCACATAGCGAAGGTTAATCCGGAACGGATTAACCTCGCTGTGCGGGGCACCACTGTATTTAAAAAAGGAGCAAGGTCCCAGCTGATGGCCTCCACTATAGATTTTAAAAAATGCTGCAAATTGGTCAGGTGACAAGTGGATCCAGCCCTCAGTACTGAAGATAATAGATGTTTATGAATCAGTAGATGGTGTGAGGAATGTTTGTAGACATTTTTCTTCCTCCCTCAAACTCAGGGTCACTTTGTGAAGCAGGTTAGCAGTGGGTTCAGGTAGAGAGAGATGAGAGTAGTACTCTATGCTGAAGACATAAATCTGCACTTGTCATGGAATAACAAGAAACCACAAAGCTTTTCTCCTTGCCTGCAGAATAGCAAGATATTTTCTGTTTGTTTTAATTAGAGTTTTTGCAATTGCGAGACCTTTTTTGTTGTCCCTATTTTTTAACCAACTTTTCTCAGCATAATTGAATAGATGTAGGTATGTGAAATTTGTAGAGGCAGGAATCATCCCTGAAACTTTTATTCAATAGCTAGAAATATGCTTTGTTTTCTTTATTATGTTCTATCCATCTTCTGAACTACAGGGCTCTTTGTGTGCTTCATCTGGGGTACTGTAACTGGTTAGGGATCCAGGTATTGCTAGTGTTCATTCTTTCTGCTGCACTACTGTCAACAAGATTTGGGCTATGACTGAAGAAGTCTTAGAGGTTAATATAGATTCCTGCAGGTGAAATTCCTGTATTTTTTTCTCACCGAGGTGAACATCTTGATACCTCCAAGAGAGGAAGCCAACCTTGAAGTCTTGAAATCTGGTCGTTACTACATTCTGCTACTGGGTAGAGGAGAAATTTCTTTAACTTGGGACCAAGACATGGGAATTACTGTTATCTTGAAAGATCATTATAAAGTAAGTTTATTCTGACTATTATGTTTGTCAGCTTGTTTATGCATTTTTACATATAAATCATGTCCCCTTATGCTCAAACTGATTTACTAGGGTACAGCTACACAGTGGAGAAAATGAATTTTGATGTTCTGTTATTCTCAGCTTTTCAGATCTGGCCCCTGCTGTAATTTCACAGGTGAAATTATTGTAGTTGTCTAGGCAACAAACAATTATTGTGCCACAGAGGCAGGGGGAGAGAAAGCTTTGTTTGCACAAAACTCTGACAGCAGAAGTTGCCTTTGATCTTATGAGGTGCTAATTGGCAATTCACATATCTTTTTAAAAACACACATAACAACCAAGAACACTGTTTATAGGTGACATACTCATTTGAGGGATCTGACACTCCTGCATGTGCCTCTTTGCCTGGGATCAGGGGATCATGCAGGGCAGAAAGGAGAGAAAAGCGATGCCAGCAAATGGGAGCAAAATTAAGCCACACCTGAGTGTTACAATTAGATTACCGACTGAAAAGAGACAACTCACCCCTCAGTCTTCCTCACATTTACATTGGGTAGTTGATGGTTTTTAATTTGATTTAATCAATGCCTCTGAGAATTGTGATGTAAATGATCAATGCAGTTGCCCCTTTAAATAGCATAGTTGCAAAGTTAAAATCATTGTCCTACTCTACAGCATTAAAGAAGTTATAATTCCTGCACATAAGGAACAGTACAGTATTTTAGTGTTCCTGTATAGTACATTTGATTGGGAAATTAGCATGAGAAATAAATCTCTCCCAGGCTTAAAGGAGGTTGGATTGTGTGTGAAATTGGCCCCAATGCCCCTTTGAGGTTATGTGGGGGTTTTAAAGGGTTTTTAAAAATTGTTATGTGGGATGTAGGGATGCTAGTAGCTCATTTTCAGTTTTTTCTTTTCTTTTGCTGCTGGTGATATCTAAGATGCACATGCTTAGTGAGCATTAGAGGCACTAAGTGGTTAGAGCACTCTAACATTTGGCAGTTGTAGAACACAACATGGTTCATGTTTATTAAATAATTAATGTCATTAGTTGGGAAGTTTAACGTTTTTTTGTGGTTTATTTATTTGCAAGGATCAAGTATGTGGTCTGTGTGGCAATTTTGACGGCATCCAAAACAATGACTTGACTAGCAGCAGGAGGCAGCTTGAAGTAGATCCGAATGACTTTGGGAATTCTTGGAAAGTTAATTCACAGTGTGCTGATGTCAGAAAGGTATGGTTCAGTGTGAATACAACGTGGGGTATATCGCCATTTCACCCTAGGTTTCTGTGGTGCTCCTGGCTCCTGCAGCTGCTCTGGGGATTGAAGAGATCAACACTGCTTCGATTTTCATAATGTTTAAATTGTTTGTTGCCACTGCAACTGTAGTCTGGATTTTACAGTCTTGCTATAGAAGCTTTCTATATAGAGATGCCTGGTGTTTAAAGGAAAATGATCCCCCTGAATACATAAAATAAAGTAAACATAAGATTTTGATTCTGGAGGAGGATGCTGTTTCAGAGGTTAGTAGACTGCCTTCCTTTTACAACAACAGAAAGGGTAAATCCAGAATTTCTAACATCTTCCTGTATATATAGTTAAAGAATTTCTCTTTCATCGGTCATCTATTTTAATTAATCAGTCTGTTTATTGGATAAAATATAAATGATGATTGGTTGTTCTGGGTTTTTGCTGGCATCTTCAGAGGACAGCAGAGGACCCCAGCACAGATTGCTGTCCTCTGAAGATGCCGGCCACAGAGACTGGCAAAATGTCAGGAAGAACAACCTTCAGAACACGGCCAAAGAGCCCGAAAAACCCAGAACAACCATTAGATCCCGGCCGTGAAAGCCTTCGCGAATATATAAATGATGATTAATTATAAATTACTTAAATTTCCATGAGTGTTTTAAAAAGTGGAAATTTAAGAAACATATTAAATTAGATTTAGTTAATTGACCATTTGATTTCAATAAATAGTACATGCTTAATCTACTACATTTTTGTTATAGTTACATACATTTTCATAGTAGCAAAATGTATTTTTATATCAGCAAAAGGATGAAGAAAATGTATTGAATTATTAAATACAAGTAACACTCGTTAGTAGAAAAAAATAAGCAGTTATATTTTTCATGTTTGGTAACAGTGTTTTCATAACATAATCAAAATGGCTTCAAGTGCCCAATTCATGAAACCTATTCATTAAAATTGGTGCTTTCCAAGTAATCAAAAAAGCTTCAGGAGACTGAATTATTAAATTCATGTCCTTTAAAATAATTGCTATTTCATTTATATTTAAATCCAGAAAGAGAGTTGCATTTTCAGTCCCTTTTATTTCAGTGGTAGTATTAGATGTATGTTTAAACTGGTAAGAAATTGGTAAGAAAAGTAGACTGAATTGGGCACCATAGTTGGAATTTTTTTTAAAAAAAATCAAATCCATACTATACTTTATTTGCTTTTCTTGTCCACCTACTTGTTAGAAACATGTTCCTATTAAATATGCCCAATCATAACCCATTCAGCTTGTATTTTTTCTTTAAAAATCAGATGCCAGATATTCAAATATTCATTTCTTGGGGTCAGTCATAACTGGGATTGCCACTGGGTTCATGTTAAATCAACACTAAAACAGTTTGTGTTTAATCACATTTGTTCTAAGAGTAATATATCATCACTGCTTCTGCTTATTAAGTTTTCTCAAGGGCAGAGCCTGGTTTCTTCGTTATGCGATGGTAACACAATGAAGCAGGTAATGGTGGAGACCTCATGCAACATCTTGAAAAGTGATCTCTTCGAAGATTGCAAATATCTGGTAAGCAATTTCTTGTGCCATTATCACAGCTTTTCTAGCTTTTCTCCAGACATATATATATTTATATTTATCAAGGTATTTCTAATTCACCCCACATGAATACATGTAAAAGTTGCATGGAATCAAGAAAGTCATCTAACTAAAACAACCTAACAATATAAAACAATTATATGTAAGGCAGTAGTTTCCAACTTTGGGTGCCCAGATGTTTTTAGATGAACTCTCCCTGGCCGGGATTTCTGGGAGTTGTAGTCCCAGAACTTCTGGGGACCCAAGGTTGGGAGCCAGTGCTATAAGGCAGTGCAGTGTATTGCAAAACAATTCAAACTGTCTAGCAGTTCAAACAGAACAAAACCAGCTAAGTTTCAGATTAGAAACCAAGTCATAATCTAATTAGGTTTTGAATGCCTAGCTGTATAGTCAGCTTTCAAGCCTGCACTGAGATGAGCGCATTCTTGGTGCTAATCAGCAATCCAAGAGGAGAGCATTCCATAATCAGGGTGCTATACCTTAGAAATATGGCTTCCCTATGGGCGATCTTAGCTTTCTAATATATATATATAGCTGTAAAAATAATCATCCAGCGAAAATCACCCATAGGAAACACTGTTTTGCAAAGCGCTATGGTGATTGCAAAACCTAGTCGTCATGCAGATTCGTCGTTTTGCGGGGTAATCGTCTTGCGAGGTACCACTGTACATACAGAAATGGCTTGGTGGGAAGTTGCTTGTGTGTGAAAGTGTATACATTTTGCTTATTGAATGTAATGGAAAGCTGCTTGTAAGGGGAAAGATTTGATTCTTTAAATTCTTTTGCAGGTTGATCCTGAGCCATATATGGATATCTGCATGTATGACACATGTGCTTGTGAATCCACTGGAGACTGTGCCTGCTTCTGTGACGCCATAGCTGCTTATGCGCACGCCTGTGCACAGAAAGGGGCTATAGTTCACTGGAGGTCACCCACCTTATGCCGTAAGTGCTACTGCAAGAAAAATAAAACAAATTATTCAAAATAGAAGCTGTTTGTAAAGACAGAATATACTGCATCCTTTGACACAAGTTAATTTAGGAGAGGGCCATGACTATTTCTTTAATCCCAGGCCATCAATTGGGAGAGGGGGGCAGGAGAAAGAGTGAGTGTGAGAGAGAAATATCCCCCGCTTTACTTGTCTTTCAGAACATCAGGCAACAGTAGTGCTTCTCTGTTGAGTCTTATGTGTGGTAGCATTGATGCTGGCAAGCCCTTCCACTGTGAGAGATGGCTGGGTATTCTGTGGGGCTAGTTCTGGTACCAGCTCTCTTTCTTAGCAGGCACACCTCAGCAAATAGTATGGAATACCATCACCATTCTGTGGTGCATGCTAATGAGGAATACTACAATTGTGCAGGAGATGGGTGGTCCATTAAATGCCACAAGTGGCCTCTGTTAACCTGCTTTAAAACATCCCCCCCCTTTTGGAAAGAAAATGTGCCTGAATATTACTTTCTAAGCTGTTCTGTTTTTCTGCTCTGCTTTCCTTTAATGCTGCTTGACAGCAGAAATGGTTATACATGTTGCGAGTTTTCCTCCTCTTCTCCTTCGCCATGCATCAGTGTTTTTCAATTTGGTTTTCCATGTCAATGACATTTTGGGCCCTTAGGAGCTCTGTGCATCCTATAGGTCACATTTCACCCACACTCCGTATAGAGAAATCTGTCTTTGAGGAGAGGGACTGCCCATTTAAATAAGTGTCAAGTATGACCTGTGAGTATAACTCTGCAGTCAGAGGAGCACTAGATTATATCATTTTGGAGGGAGAGGGAATTGGTGAATTCTGCGTCTGCGCAGAAGGGTAATGTCCAAAGTTGGTCTCACAGTCAGCTATGCTACCTTTTATTTATTTAACTAATTTGTCAACAGCCCCTCAATGCAGTTAGCAAAAGCTACAGTTAAAACATAATGGCCAAAATTATACTGAGTTTTTATGCTGGTGCAATGCAATTAGCATAAACTTTGTTGGTAAACAGAGTGTTTACTGTTATGTCCTGATTTGTATGTCTTACCTTTCCATCTGATAAGTGTTTACTGTTATGCCCTGATTTGTATGTCTTACCTTTCCATCTGAAGTGCAGCCATGGTAACAGAGTTACATTGTGTATAGAAAGCACTTTGGAAACATAAATGTACTATACTATACTGTAAGCATCCTTCAGTCTCTATAGACTATGGTAACGTGCTCTGAATAGAGGTCTTGGAACAGCATCTAGTGTGGCTGAGAAGGCCAATTTTAGAGTGACAATCCCTTCCACACTGAAGACAAATACAATCTGTCCCCTGTTCGGCTCCCTGATTTTGCTGGTTTCAGGACTGCCTTTTTGCCTTGGCCTGCTAAACAAGTGCCTCTTCAAATTGGGAGAGGTCATGATGCACTGCCTGCCTCCAGGCTGAACACTCAGATGTCAAGGTTTCCCATCTGTTGAGGTCCAGTCCTAAGGCCTTCAGATCCCGTTTATGGATATCCTTGTATCGCAGATGTGGTCTCCCTCTAGGGCACTTTCCATGCACTAATTCTCAGTACAGGAGATCTTTTGGAATCTGACCATCAGCCATTCTATTTCTAAATAATGTTATTATTTCACTTATTCTTGTTTCATTTTTATTCTTGCATAAAATAGATGTTCCTTTCTTTCTTCTTCATATTTTGTAGCACAAAGTTGTGAGGACATGAACAAAGTAGAGGAAGGATATGAGTGTGAATGGAGGTACAATAGCTGTGGTCCTGCTTGTCCAAGGACATGCCAGCACTTTGCTCCAATGGTGTGCCCTCTAAAATGTGTTGAAGGATGTCATGCCCACTGTCCTCCAGGCAAGTATGTTCTCTTTGGTGCTGGCTTATGAGGAATATTTCACCATCAAAGCAGGTCATCATCTTCTGAAAGTACAGAATGACAACCTGAGTTCTTCCCTTCACCTTTCACTTCTCTAGGCCCCTGATCAGCAGCTATATTGGATTATCACACGGCTGAAGAGGGTAGATATAGTGTAGAGTTGGTGCAGTATCATGGCAGAGAGATTGATCATGTTCAGTGAGGCTGCTGGTTGAAATCCCATCTCTGGTGTGAGATCTCAAGGCAGCATTAGGCCAGTCTTAACTGGTAGCATCAGGCCAGCCCCATATACAGCAGATAATGCAACTAATTTTCCTACAGAGCTCTTTAAAAGTTTATGGTAATAACATGTGTAAAATGCTTTGGACACTGAAGGTAGCAATATTATTGCCAAGGGCCTCAAATTCTTCGAGACAACACGAAAATATTAAAACCAGGGCACTTTTCTCTTTCTGTTAAGGAAGTCAGACTTTGCTCCATTCAGTCAAAGCTCAGGGAAAGAGCCATGCTGTTTTGAAAATGGTGGTGCTTCTGAAATTTCGCCGTACCTGTCAGTTGTAACATATGGTATATCCTTCCCTCCTTTCTTGGGATGCTGCTTACTCTAGGCAGCCAATTTCACCGTACGTGTCAATTGTAACATATGGTATATGGTATATCCTTCCCTCCTTTCTTGGGATGCTGCTGCCACCAATATATTGGTTAAAGGATGGGGATTTAATACTGTATGGAGCCTCCCTGTTCTGATGAGTATTGAGTGAACAGATGCTGCTGCCACCAATATATTGGTTAAAAGATTTAATACTGTATGGATCCTCTCTGTTCTGATGAGTATTGAGTGAACAGATGCATCCATCATGGTGGCTTTACTTGGCAAAGCATCTCTTGGGTTCTCTTACAGCACATGGCTGTACTGTAACACAAGATTTGGGATTTGCTGCTCTATATGCCTTTCTTGTCTCCTTGGCAGCTGGATTGGCAGGTGATTCTGTGTGTTAACCAGATTTAGCTTAAAGCTTGCCATCTGTCTCCTTCCCTTTTTGCCTTTTACTGCCCTTCCTTCCCTCATTTAAATTTAGAAACTGAGAGGAATAAAGCACAATGTAGTTGAAAAGGAACTCCTTCTTTCCTTTCTCATAACACCCGCAAAATAATAAATAAGGCTGGAAAAAGAGTGGTGATACCACCAGAAATGTGTATATGTAGAAACTGTGGTATCTAATTAGCTGGATAGTATCTCCTTGAAGGCTGATCCCCACAGCATGTGGGACTCTTTCATGTTTTCAAGAGAAAGCCACATGTTTGAATTTGTTGTTGCTGCTGCTTTTTTAAAAAAAGCTCTAATTCAGCCATTCTGTTGTGAAATAGGGAAAATACTTGATGAGATTTCCAATTCTTGTGTTGATGTTGAAGAATGTCCTGTGTGTGAAGTAGGAGATCAGAGGATTCCTGATGGGAAGAGAATCATTTTGAACACAGAAGATACACATCTCTGCAAATCCTGGTAAAATATGAATTTTCTGAGCAGGGTAGGATAGTTGGGACAAGGCAGGAAAAAGAAGAAAAGTGCATGTAGGTAAAATGCACAATATTGGCTTTTGAAATTGTTCCTGTATGATGGCTTAAATGTTTAGTAAGGAGTCCAGCAAGCTTTCCAGTTAGAGGTTTTCAGAGGATTATGCAGACTGGATGCAAATGTAATGTCAACTCTCTATTAATTGTGATTAACAAATTCTCAGGTATATTTCTGCTATCCTTACCTGGCTAATATACAATTTCCTTGGCAGTCTTCAATTACCCTAGTGCAATGGAAAACATGGGCTATGAGGACTCCTGAAAAAGCTGAGTGATCAGCATCTCTGTCTTTTTGTGCAAGACCTGTAACCATTCAGGGATTGGCAAGTCTTTGTTCCAAGTCCCAAATCTGAGTCCAAGTCTCTGGTAATAAGTCCAAAGTCTGAGTCTGAGTCTTTGGTACCAAGTCCCAAGTCTGAGTCCCTATTAAAAACAAGCCTTTTCCCCCAGAAAATAGGTAGGGGGATGGGTGGATTCCAAGTCATGAACTGAGTCCAAGTCATTGGGGGGAAAAAGCCTGAGTCAAGTCTGAGTTGAGTCTCTGGTGTGGCTTAAGATTGACTTGACAGTGAGTTCAACAATGGCCATCCCCCATTACTGGTGAGTTGGATGTTCTGCTGTCCCATTCTCAACAGGTTCAATTCCTACCACCCCTTCTGGTATAACAGCAAAGTAACAGTTCTATAGAAAAACAATTTAATAAGACTAATACTCATGTCCCAATACTTTTTGCATATAGATACTAAAGATGCTAATATTAAACAGTAGAATGTTGTTATTCAGGTATAAAAGTGAATTGTACATTTCTGAAAGTATTTTTTTTTTAAATGCTATGTACTGTACTCTCAGAACTACCTTGGTCAGGTGTGAGGTTGGAAAGCAATGGTCTAGTTCTTCTGGAAGATTAGATCTTCTAGGAACACTCATCAATTGCAAAATGTGTGCACCTTGTGGAAATTTTTTTCCAGTGAACTTGTGACACTTTTGCCAGCTCTAGTGCACTGCAGAATGACAGTGGCAACAAAGCTGTGATTTGGCTTTATAAAACAGCAGGTAGGATGTCCAAGACTTCTTTTCAAGGTAGTCAATGGTTCTTCTTCGTGGCTTCTGTGAATCACACTCTGGGTAATCCGCACATGCACGGAGCCTCATCAGAAATTCTAGAGCTTCTGCGATAGCAAAAAGATACATTAGTGAAGACCCCTTCCCCTCGGTATATGTATCTTGGTGCCAAAGCTCTCCCTTCAGTTTGTTTCAACCGCCGCATTGAGAACCTCTACCTTTCCTTCTGTGAGAAACTGAAAGCGAAAGAAAAGGAAAATTATTCAATTATTTACATTCATTCCTTAATTTAAACACCTATTATTTAATTATATATTTGCAGAACTAGAAGAAATACACTCCGGCCATAAGGCTGAAGTGATTCCTTCCCCCCCACCCCACATTCCTTAGACCAATTTTTGGTTCATGGCCTCTTCTAGCCTGTTTAAATGCTGTGTGGCCTGCAACAAAAAGATTCCACTCTCTGATGGCCATGCAAAATGCAGGGGAGCTTGACGATGATAATCCGTTCCATTAAAATTGCTGTTAAGCAAAATCGTCATCAAGCGAAAGTAAAAAACCCATTGGAATGCATTAAAAACTGGTTAATGCATTCCAATGGGGGAAACACCTGCTCATTTTGCAAAGATCCTCCATAGGGGAAGCCATTTTCGATCACTGTCTTCCGGAAATAGGTCCGGAAAACAGCGGGAGGCCATTTTGAAAACCCGACGATCAGCTGTAAAGGTCGTGAAGCGAAAAATCAGTTCCCGAAGCAGGGACCAAATCAACGTTAAGTGAAAAAACCCATAGAAACACCAAAGTCCAACAGGGTCATCATCAAGCAGGGCACCACTGCGCCTTTTTTGCCTCAGTGAAATTCATCAAACCTCATCGTATCTCGATTGTAAAAACTTTAAATGTAGAGTCCTCCACAGCCACTTTTCTCAGCTTAAATTGAGGCTCTGGGAGCAATCTCTCCAGCCGACTAATCCCATGGCACAATCACCCTGTAAGTCCATATCTCAGGCTAAGGCCATGGACAAGGCAGTCTCTGAGGTGGCGAAACACTGCCAGGTGCCTACTCCTTCCTGCTCCGATTCCATACCTTCCACCTCTACAGTCCTGCGAGTTCAAAAACAAAACAGTTGAAGCCAAAGTCCTCAACATCAAAGGCTGCACACAAGAGGAAACTGTCCACGGACGCTTCCTTGGTGCCTGAACCCTCACTTCCAAAGAAGGCTAAATCCTTGAAATTGAAGCCTCTTCCAGACATCTCCCCAACTCCGCAGCCACCAGAGTCTGGAGATCTCATCAGTGTCAGTTCACTTTCAAATGAGGAACCACTTCCATCTCATCAACAGTCTCCCGCACAGTCTCCTGAATAGGAACAGCGGGTCGACCTGCTGACAGCCTCTCCTGACAGCCGGCATCAATCTTCAGGCTCTTTGAGTTGCCCTACCAGACACTGAAGCTCAACCAGACACTGTGCCCTACCCTGCCCCTTTAGGCCTACCACTTCGGCCTCCAGCACATCAGCAAAGGCATCAAGCCCTCACACATAGAAATGGAGTATGCTCAGCACCATCATTGGGATGTTCTTTGCCCCGATTGGTGCCTGATGGAAAAGCCCACTAAAAATCATTGACCAGCTGTTTTTCCTGGTCTTGGAGTACAGCCACAACATGCCGCCCCTCCTATGGAGGCTTTGGGGTCGAAGCAATCCTGTTGTCAGGATTGCTCTGAGATTATTGGCGCCGCGTATCCACTGGCACTGGAAAGGTCCAAGCAAGCCAACCAATATTCCTTAGCTCTTAGCAAGTTTTCAGTTCTGGCAAGTTACTACTTCCTGGCTCATAGGAAGTGGTCATCCTGCTCAGCATTTCTGGCATCTGTCTATTCCACTATGATACAGTATGGTTCATCAATGCCTTTTCCATCTCAAGAATGGTCTCAATACCGACAACAACCTCCATTCCAACACACTGATTCCTTTGATATGGACAACTCTCAACATTTAACAATGTCCATGGATGCACCCATGGTCTCCGCAGCAGCTGAAGACCCTCAATATCAGCTCTTGTCCACGGGTGTACCTTCAATGTCGATACAGTTGAAGACTCTCAATATCGACAGCTGTCCACGGACACACCTTTGACATCGGCATCTCAAAGTCGATACTGATACATCGAAGATCAGCCTGTCGATGTTGACGTCAATCAACAGTCAGTAGACTCACGGCACAATCCCGAACACTCTGAACATGGCTCTAGACCTCAAACGGCATCAGTATTACTAACATTTCCAGACTCAGATCTGGCAGATACAGATCCTCCAGCTGAGGATTTTCAATCGTACGCCCAGCTAATGGTCCGTATGGCTAAGTCCCTTGACCTCCAGATTCATAAACCAAAAACTGAACCAGCGGATCACCTCTATGACCCCCATCTCTAAGGACACTACAACACCAGTCCATATTTCCATGCTACCATCCCTTCTCAGCACAGCACACCACTCCTGGACCAAGCCAGCGTCCTCCCATTCGGTGTCGAAACGCATCAACAACCTCTATTGGGTGCATGACCCAGGTGCTATTTTCTTACAAAAACAGGCAGTGCCTAACTCTATACTTGTCAAAGCATCACAATTTCACTCTCGACACAGGCAAATCCTGATACCACCGAATAAAGATAGCAGGTATATTGACTCAATGGGCAGACAGCCGTACTCTTCTGCTGCCTTTACCAGGAGGGTTGTCAATTATCAAGGAGCAATGGGTGCCGATCAATGTTTTCTATGGGACAATATGTCTACCCTCCCAGAGGGCAAGAAAGTACTTGTTCAAACCTTTCAACAAGAAGGCCTTTTGGTGGCAAAACAGCAGATGTTATTGGCCAGACACATGGTTGAAACCACATCTAAATCAATGGCCACCTCTGTAGCCCTTAGCCATTTTTGTTGGTTTAGAACCGCTGGCCTAGCGGAAGATGCATGCGCACACACTGAACCTCCCATTCGATCGTGTAGGCCTCTTTAATGCAGAGACAGATGATATTCTTGAAAATATCCAAAGGAAAAGGACAGTAGCGAGAAGCTGGGGCATTTATCCTACTTACCAACAGCACCCTCAGTGTACCCAATTGTGCCACCCTTACAATTCATACAAGAAATTCCAACAACAACTCCAAAGGCAGACATCCTTCATGCCTTATTACAAACAGCAACCCTATTGAGCCAAACTATGTCAACAGGTGCAACCAGGTGCAATGGCCACAAACACAAACAGCACATTTGACATCCAGCTGGCCGAGACTCCAGTGCCACCTCAGAACAACCTCCCTCCCACCCTCTGGTAGCACTTACCTATGAGGGAAGACATCACCACAGACTCTTGGGTCCTCTCCATCGTAAAGAGCGGGTACCCCATAGAGTTCCACCAGCTTTCTCCTCCGTCCTACATCACCATGCTTCTGTTCCAAACTCTGTACGAAGAAATTCAGGCATTATTACGCAAGGACACAATAGAACCAATACCATCACATCAAGCAAGCCAGGTTTTTTTCTCTCATTATTTAGTCATCCCCAGAAATGATGGAGGTCTCTGACCTATACTCAACCTCAGGGAGCTCATCACTACCACCAAGTTCCATATGGTTACTCTTGAGTTTGTCATCCTTCTGCTACGCAGAAAGGACTAGTTTGCAGTAATAGATCTCAGAGACACATATTTCCATTTCCAGGCCTTACCTCCGCTTCCAACTAGGAGCTCATGCTTTCCAATTCATAAGACTTCCGTTTGGACTTGCAACAACCCCCCGTGTCTTTACCAAATGCATGGCACCTGTAGCAGCATACCTCAGATTTCACAAGATCCACATCTTTCCATAC